TTACACATTAGTGGGATTGGTTGGTCTCTGTAGCCACTTACGTCTCTCTTTACTCATACCCAGTTGGAATCTGCCCCAAGAGTCTCTTTAGCCACTCAGATCTACATAATTACGTATTTTTGAATAGTTGCTATCGCAAACAGGTTATATCATGTCACTTGAGATGATTTATTTCTCAAAGTATATTTAAGATCTGGACTTCTTGAACGACAGAGGTGACTTCTTTTTTTCTTCATCTTTTTCTTTTTCTTTTAGCGTGACAGTCTCATCTGTTTTTTAAGTTTATTCAGCTTGAGTCAAGAGTTTACTGAAATCAAAAGACCCTTTTAAACATCTGGATATTTCTTTGTAGGAAGTCTTTTAAAAGATACATTTATATAATTGCTTTGTGACCCTCCTCATGCATTTATCAGTTCCACAAATATTTCCTTAGAATTCAATCTCTGTACAGCTCTATGCTAGGCACTGGGGGAAAGTGGTATTCAGAAAACAATTTGAGACTAGCTGTCCTTGAGAAGTTTGCAAGCAGGATCCCCAAAACACAGCGTCTCTTTTCCCTTGTGTGTAAAAGAAGCTCCTTGGAATAGACATGCTCACTTCCCCAGTGTTTTCCTCTGCTTTGAGTGCTGTACTATACATATATATATACACATATATATATATTATTGATTTCAGAGAGAGGAAGGGAGAGAGATAGAAACATCAATGATGAGAGAGTCCATGATCGGCTGCCTCCTGCACACCTCCGACTGGGGACCGAGCCTGCAACCCGGGCATGTGCCCTGACCGGGAATCGAACCCCAATCTCCTGGATCCTAGGTTGATGCTCAACTGCTGAGCCACGCCCAGCCGGGCCTGTATTACATATTTGACAGAAGTCACTTTGTTTAGCACCTAGGAAACTGAGGAGTAAACAAACCAGGGTGTCTTCAACACTGCCTCTGAAGGATAAGGCAATTTTTGTATCTCCACGTACTTTTCAGATCACTCAAGAGACACATGCGTGATGTGTAGGTTTCAGCTCCATTCATTATTTTTTTATAGCCTGTGAAGTAAGCCTGCCTGGGATGTTGTTGCAGTTTCTATGACCTTATAGGAGAAAGAGGCTGAGGAAGGGTGGAGAGCCAGGTCCACCCCTTTCTTGCCTAGAGAATACCTCCCACTCCGCCTCCAAGCTCTGCTCTGTTCTCGAGTGTGGGGACGGAGAAGTACAGTGAGATTACAGTCACTCCTCATTCCTTTTTCAGCCCCTCACTCCTTGATGATGAAACAGCTCTTGAATGATATTGGGCAAGAGTTAAGCACCTGGTAATATTTTCTGTCTTGAAACCTTGATGTAGAACCCATAGAGTGTAACTTAAATGTTATTTATTGACCTGAGAAGAGTGTACACAGCTCCTAAAAGTATCTCTCATTTACTCCTAGAAAATAATTAGCTCATTAAGAGGCCTTAGCTAAGTACTTTGATTTAGGCAGACATTTATTTCATTAGAATGTAAGTTCCACAGTGTAAAATTTTTTGTCTCTCTGGTTCACTTATATATCCTAAACCCTTAGAACTGTACGAGGCATGTGGTAGACACTCAGTAAATATTTATTGAGTAAATAAATGAGTGAACTTTCAAGGGCCTTTTATTCATGCTTATTAGGATAAAGCTTTGCTTGAAATTTCTGACTTTTCAAGCCCTGAAAGGAAGCAATAAATGAAAAACAAATATGAATCTTTTACATTAAATTTGTATCAAAGGATGTAAAAGTGCTAGATATCTAATAATAGAAATGCAAAGATATTGACAAATCAAGATTTTAATGAAAGCCACCTTTGGTTTTTTTATTATATTTTTAAAAGATAGAAATTAGAGGTTGTAAAAGGATCAGACATATTTTCCTTATGGCAGCCTGTTCTGATTGTCCTCAGTTGTCCACTTATTGTCCACTAATTTCGTCTGAGTTTCTTCATTTATATATCAGGGGTAAAAGTAGTCATTTATTCAATGAATGTCTAGGTGCTATTCTTTGTGGTAGGAATACCCCAGTGACAAAAATGTTGAAAATGTCTTCTGTTGTGGAGTAGCAGGAGAGAAAGATAGTAGAATATAAACACAGACGTAATTATATTTATTAGAAGTTGACATGCTATGGGAAAAAGAAAAAGAGCGTGGCAAAGAGGATCAAGATTGGGGGACAGGTTGTATTTTTTCCCCCCTAAATATTTTATTATGACAAATTTCAAACATTCAGAAAAGTTAAAAGAATGGTGTAGTGAACACCCACATGCCCCCAACCTAGCTTCTATAATTGTTAACATGTCACATCTGATCATTTATTCATCTGTCAATCCATCTTATTTTTGAAGCATTTAAAGGTAAGAACACTTAATGTACCCCTAAAACTTCAGTGTGCATGTCATCACTTACAGTATTTATGTTTTTGTGTGAAATGTACATGCATTGAAACGAATACATCCTAAGTGTACTCATCTATAAATTCCGAAAAATACAAACTCCAGTGTAACTAAAACTCTGACTGAAATATACAGTGTTTTTATCTTATCATTGAGAGACTTGCCTCATTTTCGAGATTGCTTTGGATACTCCAAGTCCTTTGCATAGCCATGTAAATTGTAGAATCAGTTTGTCATCTTCTACCTAAAACCCTCATAGGATTATGATAGAAACGACATGGAATCTAAAGATTAATTTGGAAGAATTGACATCCAGCAATCTTCTGTAGTTTTCATTATAGCAGTTATCTTCAAAATTTTAAAATTTTCTCCTACGTGTTTTATGATTTGAATGCTATTGTAAATAGAATTTAAAAAATTTCATTTTCTAGTCATTGCTGCTTATATACAAAAATACAATTGATTTATTTTTATATTGACTTTTTACTTTGTGATCTTGCTAAATTCATTTTATTAGTAATTTTTTCTTTCTTTTTTTTTGTAAATCTTTTGGATATTGTGCATAAACAACCATGCCATCTGTGACTGGGAGTTTTACTTCTTCCTTTCTGATCTTTAGGCCTCTTTTTGTCTTTTTCTTATTTTATCACACCAGCTAGGATCTCCAATAAAACACTGAATAGAAATGGTGGGAGTGGATACCTTTGCTTACTTCCAATCTTGGGGGAAAGGTTCAGTACTTCATTATTAAACATAATGTTAGCTGTAAACTTTTTGTAAATGCCTATGGAATTGAGGACTTCAAGCTTTGCTTTTGTCTTGGTGAACCACAGCTGTACTCTGTGTAGTTCTCTTACCCCTAGATGGTCTCTTACTATTAGTTCTTCTACCCTTAGATGGTCATGAAGTTTGATTCCCTTGTGTGTTGTCCAGGGATCAGTCAGAGATTTGGGCAGAATTTGTAGACACAATTTGAGTCTCCCTTCTGTGGCTCTCTTCTTTCTTGGATAGGTCCAATTTCCAACTGCTATAGTAAACTTTGTCCTTTAATTCCTTATGCAAGTAAGATTGCAGATTTCTATCCAAATCCCAGCTGTCCAGTGTCTGGGAAAGCCTCCAAAATGGGAAACTCTTCCAGTGACATTCTTTCTTTCAGATGCCCACTCTCCTCCAAATCTGTCTACTTTTAGTGACTCCAGTGTTTTCAGATAGTTGTTTTTTAATATAATTTTTCTAATGTTTACAGTTGTATTTTGTGAGAAGTTTGGTCCAGTGTAAATGACTTTAACATTATCAGACGTGGAACCTACATTTTTAAATAATATGTTGGAATAGTCCTTACAAGGAATGTGAAATTTAAGGAAAGATTTGAAAAAAGTGAAAGATTTAGCCAAAGTGATATATATATATATACACACATACTTTTAGGCTTCAGGTAAACAAAAGAGAGCTAGCTAGTTAAGGAGAGAAAAGCCTAATATGTTGTAGGAACAGGAAGAAGAGTAGGGTTTTGAGAAGAGTGGTGTGATCAGACAGGCATTTCAAAAATAGAACCCTTGCTATTTTGTGACTAGATTGTTTGGATGCAAATGTACAAGCAGGGAATTAATTAGGAGGCTGTTACAAGATTTCACAGGAGAAATAATGGACACTCAAACCAGAGTAATATCAATGGACACAGTGAGAGCAGTGACACGCTAGGTATGTTGGGTATGAAAGAAAGTGAGGTGTTTAGAATGACACCAGGTTTTTTTGGCAAGTCGCACAGAAGGGTGGAACTGCCATCAACTGAGATGGAGAAGGCTATGGGTGGATTAGTTTAAAAAGACAAGATTGTGCCCTAATAGGCTCACACTCATGAGTGATATAGTTAAATAACTGATATGATCAACTAACTGAACTAATGTGCTGAGAACTTTTTATGGCAGTTCTGTGGAAGGGAGAGCAGAGGAGAAAAAGAATCATTTCAATTTTTGCTGAGCAACAGGTAGCAATGTATCATTGAATTGAAGAAATTGGGCCTCGTATGTCATTTGATTAGTTCATTACTCAAGTTATGTTATTTTTCTTTCATATTGGAAACCATAATGATGTTTTGGGTTTCAGTGTGCTAATGCTTCAGGGAAATGGTGTGTGTGTATGTTTAATATTTGTTTTTTTTATGTCATTTGAGATGAAGCTAGGCACTAATGATGTTATGATTATTTTTAACACTAACCAAGCCTTTTAATCTATAATGCTAGAAATATTTATTGAAAATCTGAAAATATATAGTAAAAACATAGATTTAAATATGCAAACGTATTGAAGCAAAGACTTATCACCTGGGTGTTTGCAGATCTCACTAGTGTATTTTCCCTTTCACCGGGCCAGCCACTATGGCTCTGTGCTTGCCTGTTCTCTGACAGCAGTTAGGTGCAGCCATTGGTCAAGAGCACTTTGTCTTACTATTCTGATGTTAAAAAAAGAGCAGAATGATGACTTTATACCTTTGCTGAAGCTGAGTTATAAATGATCTGGTTGTAGGTCCTTACACTTCATTTTCCTCACCTCCAAATAAAAAACAATTGTAACATCGGACCAATTTATTTTTCAGACCATGTGGATGAGCGAACAGTATGCAATGGGATTGCCCCTGAAAAAGATGTCGATGGGTTTCACATTATCAATATTGGAAGGCTGTGCCTTGACCAGCATTCTTTTGTACCTGCCACGGCCAGTGCTGTTTGGGAAATAATCAGAAGAACAGGTTGGTGGCTTGTCTACAGGACGTGGGTGCTAAGTGCCAAACCGAGCATTTGTGCATCGCTGTGGTGGAACCACCTCAGCCCCCTGGGTGAAAGGAGACGATCAGCCATGAAACTTCAGTCTGTAGGCAGATACAAAGTTCTATAAGTCAAGGAATAATCCAAAATGAGCTAAACTGGGCTTAGAGAGAACTGCTTTCGCATCTTGTAGGGAGCGAATTTTCTAATAGTAGATTCGCCTCTCTACTTTTAAACTGAAAACAATATATTTTGCTATACATTTTCTAAAATGTATTATATTTTTACTTCCTTTAAAAACGGAATGTGCCAAACATATTTGAATCATATGTAATGACCTAGGTTTTTATTACAAACATTTACCTTAAATTGAGCTCTAGATACCATATGTAAAGCTCACAGGTGTGCAGGATGTTTGCCTTTACATTAATTGACCCCATATTGCCTTTCATATTGATGATTTTCCTGCCTCTGGCACTGTCACTTCCATTTCTGACAGCATCTTCTTTCTAACCTGCTGTTTTCTCATTGAAAGAGAAAATTTCCAAGGGAAAGCATATCCTAGAATTATACTCTCAGAATGTTAGTATTTGTGGGGGGAAAACCCTTAATTCTGACTTCTTCCTTTTACTTATGAAGCAGCTTTGCCCAAAAGAGGTCAAGTGTGTTAAATCTGCAAGTTTTATCTTTCATACCTTTTAAGTCCCTAAGTTTAGGGCTTCTCTCCTGTGGAGCAAAGTGCATGAGCTTTGTGGAAAATACTTTTCCCCCAACTTTATTTTGTTCCAGTTGTGCTTAAAGTGTGATTGCCAGTTAAACTTGACATTGTTATACTTTGCTTACTTTGTAATTTGCAGCAAATATATTTTAAGTCTCTGTACTTCTAATTCTTCATGTGAATCTCGATACTTAAAAGTAATTTAATGGCAACTTGAAAATACAGGCTGTTCCAAAAAAAATGTATACACTTTAACAGCTGATAGCTCAATTATAAAAATGAGATGTATTTTAATAAACACTGCCTTTATAATTATTCAAAGTGTGTGTATGTATACATTTTCTTGGGACACCTTATATTTGTGAACTTTTTCATGAAGACATAATCAGAGAGGCAGTGACAAATCCAAGAGGTATACTCATTATTAAAGAGAAATACTCATTATTTAATGAATGTGGACACATTATAGACAAGCCACACAGTAATCCAAATTAAGTTAGAAATGTTTAAGGAATGTTTCAGTTGGCTGTTCAGATGTTTACTTGCTTCTTGTTGATGACTGTTTAAATCAAACTCTGTGTTTCAAGGGATTGAAACATTTGGGAAAAATGTGGTTGTGGCTGGAAGATCCAAGAACGTGGGGCTGCCGATTGCCATGCTTCTGCACACGGATGGAGGGCACCAGCGGCCGGGAGGTAGGCGGGCCTTGCAGATGCTCTATACCTTTACTGCTTTTTTTGCTTCTTAAAATCATAAAATCGACATGTTTGAAATTGTGTCTGAGTGTATTTGTAGGCTTATGCAAGTGAAGGTGTCCTTTATTCCTAAACTAATGACATGAGCACCTTGAAAGTGAATAAAGAAATTACTGGAAATATGTGGCCGCTTTGTTCCTATTTTTTCTTTTGGCCTATATGCTTTCTTCAAATCATTAAGAATATAGAATTCAGAAAAGTGGGAGGCCAGTATCTACATAAAGTCACACGATAGACATCTGCATGCTCAAGCACACACACAAACGCATGCACAAGCAACACCAATGTATGGATATGTAGATTTCTTATTATTAACCTTGGTGAATTTCAGTTTCCTGATCTCAAATTTTTAAATACTTGTTTTAGGATCTGAGTTGATATAATGCATATGAAATAATTTTTTAAGCTATAAAGCCCTATGAAAAAGTAAGCCCAAAGATAATACATTACTCATCTAAAAATGATGATGAATGTTTTTCCTTCCTAGGCCTAAGGATTCAAAAATGCATATATGGATCATAGTAAATTAGAACCTGATAGTAACGCCAGGTAACTTTAAAAAGCCTTCGTTTTGAAGAGCTTTTTGAAAGGCCAAAGCTGGTGGCATGAACACAGTTTTCATGAGAACCATCGACAAAGTTACATTTCTAGTTTTGCTGTTCACTTGTAACTTAATCCATTAAGGCTTATTTATCTCTTAGGGTGTAATAAAAATATTGATTCATATTTGCCTTATGTAATAGTTTCTATGTTAAGCAAGGTAAAACAGCCAGGAAGGTTTACCTAGTTATACTATTTATTTATTTTTTTGAAAATCCTGACCAAGAGCCAATAAGCAGTATTTTTATTTTCAACATTTAATTTTATCTCATCAATACATAACAATAACATAACTGCACAACTTGCACAGGACTTTCTCATAAACTATCTTATTTAGTTCTCAATAATTCTGGCATATGTTAATATTTGCATTTTGAAGCTAAAGAAAATGAGCTTTAGAGACTTCAGGTGACTTATCTAAGGTCACCCAAGGAAGTACTAGATCAGAGCTGGAAGCTGAGTACTGACTGTGTATTTAAGAGGATAGGCTTGGAGTCAGACCCCTCCGCTGCCAAGCCCTGTGTCCTTGGACAAGTTATTTAATCTGTGTAACCCTCCACTTTCCTCATATGTAAAATATGTATAATATTAATTTCTCCTTCACTGAATTATTGTGAAAAGTAAATGAGATACTAATGTAAAGCACTAATTACAGTGCTTGACACAACAAGTTAAGTGAGCCCTTGGTACATGTGAACTTTAGCTATTACTATCATTTCCATTATTATGCTCAAGTTAATAATCTGTGACCATACTAATCATAAAATTTAGAATAACAAGATCCAAGGTTAATGATGTATTTTTCACCTTCATTTGAAATTTTTTTCTGGTGGGTTTTATGGTTTATTTATTTATTTATTTATTTTAAATATGTCTTTTTTGATTTCAGAGAGAAGTAGTAAGAGGGAGAGAGAGATAGAAACATCAATGATGAGAGTCATTGATTGGCTGCCTCCTGTACACCCCCAACATGCCTCAACCTGGACATGTGCCCTGACCGAGAATCGAACCATGATCTCCTGGATCATAGGTCGATGCTCAACCTCTGAGCCATGCTGGCCGGGCTATGGTTGCTTTATTTTGGATAAAAACTAGTCTTTGTTGTAATAATTTGCATAACTATAGAATATGTAAAGCCTATAAGGTATTTTATTAGAAATATGACATCATACTACAAACCATACTTTACATACATTTTATTATAGATATCAATAAATTAATGCTAATTTCTTGATAATTTTTAAGTTTTTAAAATATATTTTTATTGATTACAGAGAGAGAGGAAGGGAGAGGGAAAGAGACAGAAGCATCAATGATGAGAGAGAGTCGTTGATCTACTGCTGCCTCCTGCATGCCCCCCCCCCCCCCGGA